CTTGCAAGGTCAGAGTCAGACTGAAGAGTTAAGGGCTGAACCAGTAGTCATGTTAGGGGATGGGGGGATCATCTGTTCTGTTTCAGAAGGCTGTGCCGAAGCTAGTATAGTGTGAGGTAATTAAGAGGTTATTATTTTTAGCTTCGCCTCCAGGATAGCTTCGTAAGTGTGTTATCATGTCAAGAATTTCCGTCCATTGTACCGGACGGATGCCCCTTCCAGGTATAAATTTATGAAATTAGGTCAATCTTCCACTTTGCATATCCCTCGCTCCAGATCGTCACATGTTCCACTCGTGTATGCAGTGCGTCAGTTATTACCTGTGGCGCGTATGTAGAGCTCCTTTTGTTTCTCCAGTCACGTTTGGGCAACATTCCTCCAGGAATGCCGAAAGGCGTGAATGGCCTCGTGATGCATTCCTCACCTATATATTTTTGTCTTTCGTCAATCTGCTATGATTACCGCCCCCCCCCCCACACACACACTAAAATGGTCTAATGTCGACTTTTAAATGTAGTTAGAACTACCTTTAATTTATCAGAAAATGTGGTATCAAAAAGTCAAACTCAATGCAGATGCATTATATAATATATTCCCTTCCGTTTCACACGTACCTAGCAGCTTCATTCTCTGTTGCGCATATAAAATCGTTGGTAAAAAAACATAAAGATGCATAGTGTTTTCAGTCATTGTATTTTGTTCCCCAGTCCTTGATAGTCACAGTGACAACTCAGAATTAACCATATAAGAAGAATGTGAGAATTAAGTACACATTTGACCGTTGTTAAACTTGCAGGTATAGGAGGCAATAGCCCCCATGCAAAGATCGTTAGAGATACCATTCTTCCCGGACGCGAAATTCTCCAAGGCGGCGTCACGTTTTCCCACACGAGCGGCTTCTGAAAGCGGCGGATAGACCCTACCTTTCCGGTGCCATGCTCATTACCTACTGAAGATTCTCAACCGCCATCCCTGGGCTTTACGTCGCACTGCGAATTGACAGATTAGAACTACCCTTAAGTGCCCTTTAAAGAATTTGTCAGCTTTATTCGGATTTACAGTTTCTATACCCCCTAAAGGGAATCTGTCTTGTTGGTTCTTTTTAAAAGAATTGAATAAGTATTCAATAATTGAAAGATAGAATTCGAAGAAAAGCTCTAAATGGGTCGACGCAATAGACGACTTGTGAACTATACATTTATTAGATAGTTAAAGACCGATAAGGTGGGCTTTTTTCACCATGCTCAGTAAAACGTTATATATGCGTCGTTATTGGACAAATTTCTCAACAGTACGTTACATGTACTTTCGTCAAACACGCACAAATGACGACGACTATTTGCTTGCTGTTGCAATCCTAATGCCTCATGTTGTAACATGTGATGTTGTGAGGGGACTAAGTATGCCACAGTCAACATGCATCAAGTACCGCCTGAAGATCACGCGTGGGCCCGGCATGTTTTTCAGCCTTGATTGCAGCCCACCAGCATACTAGATCAGAGAAGGCCGTATTCCCTCATTTTATCTACATCATTTGGCTGTGTAGGAAAAACGTAGGATGTAGGATAAAAAGATTGTGCGTTGCCTGAAAGGTGTATTATCATTAGAGCTCACTGCGTTTATGGAATTTAGTCCGCAGGAAAATCCAGTTTACTACGTCGTTTTGGATCGATTTTTTTACATTTAATCACCAGCTAATTAAGACATCCGATGTACTAATCACACACGTGTGAGGAACGTGAGAAAACAGTCGCCCTTCAAGTTATTTTTACCGAGAACAACCTTCAGCTTGGCCGTCGACAGAAAACGTTCGAAGTACGCCTGTCAGAGATACAATTAAAACGGTCACGTTGTCGGCCACCCGAAACATTAATTCGAGCGGAGATTCTGAACCCTCCACGAAGCCTTTGATATAAAGAGCTACATTGATAGAGCTACGTAAAGAGCGCCGGTAATTGGACAACATTCAGGCGTAAGGCAGATATAAGGGGGGCTGATGCCTTGTAATACGGCCCAATCAGCGTCAAGACTCTTCTCGACGGGACCTCTCGTTAATTTGTGCGACATCAAAATGCGCACCTCTCTCTGCTCTCCTGAACCTATATAGAAATCGGCTTCACAGGGCCGCGTGTATCGCCGTTTGCGGCTTGAAGAAAGCCTTGTTGTTCCGCAGGCTTGGATAGATGGAACGATGTTCACGTGGAGGTAAATGTGAGCCGCGGGCCTCACTTCACAATACATATGGATGAGATAATACTACGACTGGGACACTTGGCTGAAAAGGAGATCTTGTTTTCCTAATTTACGGCGATATTCTGTAGAGAGTTGCCTTGAAGAGTCTATTGTCGAAGACAGGTACGATGGGCAAAAATAACACACAGTCTAATGATAGAGGTTATGGTTTAAAGGAGCATTATGTAGAATTTTTGCACCAAAAATTGAAACATTTTGATTGAAAAAACATCGTATGATTTTACTTTAGTTCCACGTTTCAGCATATTTTCGCATTTATCTTACATTCCTGACATTTATGGTTGGTGCTAAAACAGCCCACACAAGGTGCACTCAGTTTGGGGTGCCACCACAAAATACCAGAAAGTAAACAAGCATGGCTGACACTGACAGCTGTGTTTCCAGCTTTTCAAACACACTCGTAAAGCATCATATTTTGGCACCTCAAATTCCCGAATGACTCTCATTTGAAATTGCGTAGGGTGGATGCAGCTTGTAAGAAATGGCCAGAAAATTTGTTTTTTGTATCGTCCTACTGTTATATAATGCACCTTTAAGATATAGAATCTCTTTTCCCTTACTGGAATGTAAACATGTAACGAAGAAGCATTCCACTGCGATGAGCTTTTTCTAACGTGTAGCAGCAGAGTTGTCGTAGCCTGCTTTCATGCCCGATGGACAACAAGTGCAACCTGTTGACGCATGTAAGCCCATCCAAGCCTAGCTTTTACGGCCGCGCGCATAATGACTGCCCTTAGTTGCCTCCCTCTAACTTGGTTCTTACGTCTGTACGTGGGCTGCCTACAAAAACTACGTCTACAAGTTGTAGACGCTTGTTAATGATCATAATGCGGCGGTGCCGTGGTCATAACATGTTGCGCGCGGCGTGACACGTTTTCAGCCACCGTTTTTCCACTACGTATACTGGAAAACAAGAATTCGGAGATCCCAGGCCTCCACGAAACCATGATATTTACAAGTCCTGACTTTTTAGGAGTTGTTGAAAATCATGAAAAATGGGATCCATTTGCCTAGATGCAACAAAATCCGTTTGCAATCCCCTTTTGCATTCCCTCTCTTCATCGTGCAAGAGAAAATCAGCTGTCAACGAGGTCATGTAACAAAAAACACCTCTAACATATATGTATCTATGGCAGACTTCGTAGAAGCTTATTTAAGAGTCTCAGTAAAATGAACTATGACTTTGAAATACGGTAGAGCTGTTATGTAAGATGATTTTGACTCCCCTCTCTTGTAGCTCTCGTCATCCCTAAATCCTCTAATGATTTAATGGGCTTTGAGAGGGTTTAGATATTATAGAATCACAGTTTGCCCGATTATCGAGTTGAGCACTTTGATCTGATCAATGCAATACGCCGTATTAATTAGAAAAGAAGCTTACTGAGAATCATCGTATGGCCCTTACCGGGAACTGGGAAAATATGAAGACATGGAAATTCTGAAGACAGACAGTATCTTGGAGCAAGCTTGGTAGAAAGATGCTGACTTGTCGGACACGTTTTAAAGAGCGCCCATTACCAACAACGCACTCCGCCGCAATTTGAGGCCCGTGTTATTACCTAGCTTTTAACCAGACGTGTTTTCTTTCTCAGAGCTCCACACCCAAAAATCGACCAGGTTCGTCAGATGAGCTTACAGACGACACTAGCCATTCAAAGCGTCTGAATCTATGTCCGGTCTGTTTAAGGGCGGCAATCTTCCCCTCAAGATGCTCTACGTACACGAAATAAAAACATCTTCTGACGGACGAGAGAAAGAGTTCTAAGATTTCTTGCATATCGACCGATCGACGGAATGATGCACACGGGTTGAGCCACGCGCCGCGCCACGTGAGGCCGGCTGACGCACATTGACCTTTTGTATTGTATTTTGTATCGCGTAACGTGGTTGTTGACGGTAACTGTATCATTACAGTCGCATCTTCTTCCTGAAAACATCGGTGTGATTAGTGCCTGGAGCTCTTTGTCCATATTAGGATGTTGTATAACAGCGGCACCGGCTGTGGTATAAACGTCCCATTACGCCCGAGGGCCCCGCCCACTTCTCGGCCGGGGTCACTGACCTCCGCATTACACCAGGTGTTGTGGGGTTGTTATAGTCGCTTTAGGGTAAAGCTCTGTCACATATAGCCGAATATGGCCTCCCGTATACTGCCGAACTCCCACACTGTCCTTGTTTTAATAGTAGGATGGCTTGGTTGGCTGGTGTTCGAGCTATTCTTTGACTTTGGCTATATTCGGGTCTCTGACTGAGGGTTTCTTGATCTGCGTTAACGTTTCACAACAACAACATCAACCCACACCCACACACCTTCCCACGAACAGGTCTGACAATCCATCTCTCATACATTAGTGCGTCGAACTTTAATTACCTCTCCGCCCCCGCGACCTGTGTACTCCCTGAGGAATTTGTCCGATTGCCCTGCTGTGACGCCGTATCGTCACGTACAGTAAACGTTGCTGTGCACGTACCTCGCCTCGCGGACCTTGTTAAGGTCGCCCAACTTGAACTTGACTTTGGAACCTCTTGTAAAACCGCTTGTCGAGTATTTCACGCCACTGTTTGTCTACCAATGAAAACTCTTAGTTGCCAAGGACTGCTGCCATTCAAGACTGCGACACCATCTAGCGCTGAAAGCGGGCACAGCATCAAAATTGTCTTCCGCTCTTCTACCTTTAGATTTAGTGGTAAAAGCATCAGGTATAGCCTAATATTAACCTTTTTTAATTTCCCCTTTTGCTATGCAGTCCTGTGGAAAAGCTGAGATCCTCGAGCTCACCCTGATGCACATGAAGCACCTGCAGAAACAGGTGCAGGCGTACGAGCAGGGCAAGACACCTCCTGCAGCTACACCTGTCATCCGCCAGGGGGACTTCCTAGCCGGCTACCGGGAATGCCTTGGGGAGGCCATCAGATACATGTCACAGGTAGGTAGTTAGAAAAGGGGAGCCTGTTTCTATACTTAAAGATTAGGTTTTTACTTTGTAAAATGGTCAATCAATCGTTCGCGGGCATCAGGAACTGGTGCATAGTGACTGCAGACATACTAAAAAGTACACAGGTCTCACCAGGTTAATTAATGGTAAATCAAAATGGTAAATTAAAAGAAAAACTGATGTTTTGCTTGGTTTTAATTACAGTATGACCTGTCCATTTTCAGAGTCCTGTAGATGGCATTAGCTGTGAGAAACTAGAGTCCCATCTTCGGAGACACTGCCAACGCTTGTCTCCCTATCAAGGCTTTCCTGACACAGAAGAGCCTCCTGGCGGATTAGCTCGGGATAGCATCTCACCCCAACCAGAGCAACAGGTGAGACATCAGTAGAGAAGCAGGTGGACAGAAATGTTCATTTAGAACTTTTCAAAGTGCTTCCAATGTGTTAGACTTATGATTTTGTCATTGGTCTAAGGGTGAGCATATACATGTTAACAGTTTTATATATTCCTCTTTGGGTTACACTGTTAACTTTAGCCTCTACCAGGGTATACATACACATGTATCACAAAATTTGGCAAAAAATGGAAATAATTGGCCACATGAGTCATTCCGCAGGAGGCAAATGAACTCATATTGTGCCTAAACTCCCCCGCCAATTATTCTTCCCAGTAGGCTACATGTTAATTTTACTGTTGTTTGAACCCGCATTGTTAGTCTGGTGTTGACTTGGTTTCTCGTACATATTTTTCTTTTCATCTAAAGTCGTGTTTGCTATATCTTAGATGCACCAGGAGAGACCAATGCCAGAGGAGCCACAGCCACCCCAGCACCCCCCTCACATGATGGACGCCTCCCAACAGACGCCCTCCCCACAGACGGCTCAGTCACATCACACTGCCGCGGAGGAAGCCTGCCGGTCGCCCGTCAGAGAGCCACCCCGCGAGAGAAGTCCGTCCCGTGACTCCCAGCCACCCCACCCCCCGCTGCCTTACACAGCCTTCCCCCCTGCCCCCTTCATCCCCATGCTAGCCCTCCACCCCTCAGGTACTCACTACATCCCTGTTAACTTCACCCCACCCACAGCCGTCACCCCCCAGGGGGGTCAGCCTGGACAGAACATGGTCTGCCCCTTCCCGATGATGTTCCCCGCCCCCATGTACCCGGGGGTGTACCCGCCAACCAGCATGGCCGGCTCCGGCGGCAGACGCATCGGTGGGATCCCCGTCATGCCCCCGTACCAACCCCTCTCCCCTCAACCCTCGTCCGACGAATCCCCCACCACCACCCCCCGGGAGGAGTACTCTCCCCCCAACCCCAGCGCCCACATCCGAGCCCATTCCCAAGTGCCATCCAACGACCCCCTGAACCTGAGCACCAGAAGCGTGGCGTGTCCAGAGGGCATGTCCAGATCTCCGGACCTCCCGCACTCCGTGTACAGACCCAGCCACAACTGGCAAGACGTCAGTCCCCAACATGGCCACGCCATGCCTCCCTAGTCCTAACACATAGGTCTATGCTGCAACAATGTGTTGTCCAAACTTGATGTTACATTGAAAATTCTGTATACCTTGTCGTGTTGCGCACCATTATTAAACGGAATGAAAACAAGTTTAGATATTATATAGATAGTTCAGTCAGGTCATGTTTTGGTCTCTTTTAAGATTATACTGTACTGTAGATTTCTCTTGCAATTGTTGAGCAGCTATCTGGTTCTGTTGAACAGTGTTGCCAGTCAAGTATTGCATCATGTCAATAACTTTTACAGAAGACAACATTATGAAGGCTGTATGGATTGTTGTGCAAAAAAAAATACAGACTTATTTTTCTGAGTACGTCCAAGAAGTACTATTGTTTTAACAGAAATTGCTACGAATTACTAGTGTCAATATTAAAAATGCTGCATTTTGGACTATTTTCAGTCCAAAATGCAGGAGGTTGAAGTATGTTCAGGGCTTGGTATGCTTTAATTGAGGTTAATGTACATTTATTACAAGCACTAATAATCTGCACTTATTTACTCAAGTTGTTGTGAATATTACTCAACCTACAAGCCAAGCACAACAGAATGCATTTATTCCTCTCTTTTTTTTTTCTGTCAAATCTACCCTGTGGTTGAACTGCATTCAATTTGTTTTTTCCCTTGGTGACATTCTGTCTTGTTTCTGGATGACTTCTAGTTTAAAAAGAAACTAACTTACACAAGTATGTAACTTTAGTGTTACAGAAGTTGTATTTCTCTGGAATGTGGATCTTTTTTTTTTCTTACTCTAAGAGCCCCAAAGAGCCGTACAGGAAGATAAGAAGGATTATTACATATACTTGAAAACTAATGTATGCTTTAATGTATACTAGTACTATGTAGGTTTGGGAAAACATGCTACATGTGTACAAACTTTCTCCGGTGATATACTGATGGCAATGTATTGAAAACTTGATATCTTTTATTCTTGGATCAGATTGGATATATGTTGAATATTAATGGTATGAACATGAGTAACACAATACAATGGTTGAGCTTCAGACACTGTGCAGGTATATTTTTTGCACTTAGTTTAATGTCCGAGCCACCAAAGTTGGTCAGTAAATAGAGAACTTGATACTTATCATTCTTTCTTATTGATGGTTCTACTAGTACCACAATCTGTTTGTTGGTTTGTTAACGTTCTAGTTAATATTATATATATGTTATAGACTTGGACACTTATATTTCACTTTGAGGAAAGTTACTATATGATGCCTGTGGAAAGAAAATTACATTCTGTTTAGTACAAATGTGAAGTAAATAGTGAATATTTTGATGGATGGAAAAAATTATCATAGTGCACTGATCAAAGATGGACAAGACAGATTCCATCTTACATTGTATGTTTTTTTAGGAAGCAAGAAATTGCTGTTAGAAAAAAGACATGCAAATAGACCTTGTTACATGTTCCAATATCCAAGAAATTCAATACATTGATATAGTGTTGTCTAAGATACTTATAAGGCTGATGTACAGTATATAGCTGCTGCACATATCTGATGTTTCACAGGAAGGCCTACAGATATAAGAAAGCACTTTTCTCTTTCTATGTGTTGTACAGATCCGTGGATGCTCACTATTTTTGAGAACAGTTGATACGGCTATTTTCAATGAATAAATGGGAAGATAATGATTATCTGAACATAAGTCTGTTTTTGTTATATTTTGTGGTACAGATAGTACATGTATATTACAGGTTGTGTGCTATTGGACTGATCAAGGTGTATAACACCTTGTAGTTGTATGCTATTGGACTGCCTTGCAACTAATCTCCAAGCAGATCCCTATCGGTGGCAAAAGACAGTATCCTTTAGCCATAGCCATAGCTCGCCACCGTCGGTGGCCATGGACCTTCTCTGGCTAATGGATACTGCCTGGCCAATTTGATACAGTATTTTTGCCACCGATACGGATCTGCTTGGAGATTATCTTGCAACCACAATCTTTCCCACACACACACGTAATCACTCTTACGTTTACATTTATTCACGCGTACACCACACCAATACTTTTGTAATATCTTGTAGAATCCTGTAATGCAACTGACAAAAACATCATTGAAGAAAGGCAGTTACAATAAAGTTTGTAACTGCAACTTCTTTTCATATCTATCTATGAAAATTTCACATCAAGCAAATTATCTGAACATGAAAAAAATATGGAAACATATTAAAAATACAGTACCGGTAGTACTACGAGCTCATATTACCAAAAACATAACCTTGGCAAAGGTGACAATTATAGTAATTCTGTACATACCATACCTTTTCACATTTGCTTCAATGCTGACCATGTCTCAGACTACACCTTGTTTGAAGGAAGGAAACTCATTCTATTTATACTACTAGCTACAGCAGACAACCACTAAAATATGCCACAGAATTACAAGACATGTATATACATACATGTAATGGTAGTTTGGCAACTTCTATTGTGGCACTTGAAGTACAGTCAGTACCATCACTTCTTCCTATAGATTGAGCCCAGAACATGCTGTCTTCTAAAATCTAATCCACCACTGGTTCTATAAACCATGGCTGGGTAGGACAAGACCACTACATTTCTACGTGAATCTGCATAACACTAGACATCCAAATTACTACTATACTATACTAGTACATACAATGAAACAAGTATCCAAACATGGTTCTTAACATAATCCAGTTTCACTTGGCAATAATCAATGTGTCCTTTCCTGCAGTATATAATAATGTTGGAGATTCCACAACTATTTAGCCTTCTGATATTTCTAATGACTTACTTCCCTAAATTCTCTCTCTGCTACCCTAACCTTATCACTTATCCTACCCCATTCCCATTCCTACCCGTACAGGCCCATATGTACAACTATTGTAACCCTCCACCCTTTCCAAACCCATTAAGTCTTAACTAACTTTATCAAGTGTAACACTTTTTATTCACACGACCAGGAGCATGTATCTATGGCAACAGTTGCCTAGGCAACCTCAACATGTCTGGTGTGCAGGCAAAATGGAAGACGTTGATTTTGTTGCCCCACCAAAGGTGGGTAGGTTAGCGAGTTAATATTAACCACAACCTCGAGGTCACACCTACAGATGTTAGCTTTCTAATTCTTAACATCAACTGGGAACCAGTTTCATCACAACCAATATCTTATATAGGGAACCGATTACAAGTTGGTTAATAAGTTAATATTAACACTAACATTAGTTTATACTTTGCTTTTGTGGATGACCACCAAAGTTGACCAAATTCTTTGTACGCTTGTCTCTTGAAATGCCCCAATCATGGTGCTCATCTGCTAGATGAATATCATATCCTTACATATTCTGATACCAGTAGAATAAGCACTAGGATTGAAGGGAATTGACAACATGAACCCTTTCATTTTTTTTTGTTCCTCTTATTGCTGTCTGATATACATGTAAACGTTTCTTTCATAACCTTTTGTCAGTACATCATGTGCACTCTTTCTCTTAACAACCTTTTTGACATAAGGAACAACTTTTGATCTTTGTCCTTTGATGTCATTATTATACATGACTGATTGTACATCTATACTCTTTGTCTTGGTATTGTCTTGGACACAAACAGTAACATCCATTTATCTGGTTTTAAGATGAAACTTTTAAGCAATCTTATACATTGACATCAAATCTGAAGATAACAATCATGACCTTTGACACATCTAACAGCCTTATGCCATCTCTTCCTCCATACTGGTGACCTCCGAGGTCAGAGGTTGCTCAGCTGGAGGCATGTTGACCTCAGGGTCATAGGTCCACTTTGGGTAGACTCTTTTGTACAGATTCATCAGCACTGTGTCCTGGGACTTCAGCTGGCCATCAAAGAAACACTTCATGTGCCCATGTGTCCCTGGAAAATGACAAGATCCAAAGTCAAGTACGGGTAAAGTAAGGGCTCCAGACTAAGTTGTTGGCAAAAAAAATGGGCACACCAGTAAAAATTTAATGTACACCACAAAAGAAGCAAACAACTTAATTTTGGCAAACATGGTCCTAAAAAGACAGCGGTTTGGAGGCCTGGACTTGTAGCATAATGTTTGAGATGAAGTGTAATACTCTTTTAATAGCTAACACTGCGCACAAGGCCCTAGTACTCTCTGTAAGGATGTAGGTTTGTCTAAGATACTCACCAATAGGCTCCTTGATATGACCTCTTCTCCCCCACTTGGTTCTCAACTCCACTGGCTTAAACCACAGAATGTCCTCTGGATAGTACATGTAACAATGTAACAGGCAAACAGTTAGAAACATGGGGACATAATGGAAAGACTGGGCTATGACAGAAGTTGAAAAACTAGATGTAGTTTTCCTATGAATTCTGCAATGCTTACCTCTGTTGAAGAACATGTATCTAACCACTGCCAGTCTCCTGTTGATCTTGAAGGGATGGCCGCTCAGCACGATCCGCTTGGCGACAACACGGTCTGGGTTCACGCTCAGGAGAGAAGCGGTCGCCACCAGAGACTGGGAACCTATGAGGGGTCATTAGGACATGTCGTTAGGCTGGGTCAGAACCAATGTTCTAGATAGTGTCTGTCTTTCCATCAATGGACAGAATTTTGCTGGTCATGACAGACAAAAATTTTACCCAATCCATCATCTTTTGACGGACAAAAATCAAGGTGTAAAGATATGGAAAGAGATTGTTAAACTAAAAGCTTATAGCCTACTAGCAAAATTTGCCTCTCAAAAAGCAGGAAATAGCATTTTAGAGAGTAAAGATTTTTAAATTTTTCTGTGGAGCATGCCGCTAGAACCCCCTAGGATTATTGGAGTTGAGATAACAGAAAAAAATTCAGGCTGACTAGAACACTTGTTAGTAAGATGTGATAGTAAACTGTGGTAAGATTTGTGTCTTGAACTGTGGTAAGATTTGTGTCTTGAACTGTGGTAAGATTTGTGTCTTGAACTGTGGTAAGATTTGTGTCTTGAACTGTGGTAAGATTTGTGTCTTGAACTGTGGTAAGATTTGTGTCATGAACTGTGGTAAGATTTGTGTCATGAACTGTGGTAAGATTTGCGCCTTGAATGCTGATGAAAGGCCTTACCATCAGGGTACTCCTTAAACATGAGTACAGAGGCAGGAGGGAACATGATGGGAGCGTACACCGTGGCTACAGACGTCCCCTCACTCCGCAGGAAACGTTCAAACTGAAACGTACGCAGAAGGTTGAACTACATCAGTGTGGGACATCTACATTAATCTGAATAAATCTAATATCATACAACACCCTCCAGTTTAATTTGGGAGTTCCAGTTTAATTTGGGACAACCTCCCAAATATCATTCACTTTAAACCCAAATGGCTAAATATCACATCTGGTAGGAACAAATGAAGTTAGGAATACGTAGCCATCATTGATGAACCCCTGGGGACTAGCCAAATTCTGCAGAATTCTGCGACCTGGATGCAGAATTCTGCGACCTGGATGCAGAATTCTGTGCAGAATTCTGCAGAATCCTGCAGAATTCTGCGAACTGGATGCAGAATTCTGCAGAATTCTGGGAACTTAAACCAGGTTTTCCCTCAGTTTGGTGAAGTAAAGCTTATTGTTGAATGTTAAAGGCGTGGCAAATCCTGGGGGGTCTTTAGCCTTGCTCCCTTATACCTGTCACATTGTGCACAAATCAACCAAATGACGAGTCTGCGAGCTCTAAATGACATTTTCATTGACTCAGTAATATATGTCCAATGTTTTCTCCATCAGAGCACAATTTTTAGTGATCATGAACGATTTTCAGGAGTTGGCAGATAGTTGCTGTGCACCAAAACCCGACTTGACTCCGACAATCATGGAGGTGACAGAGCTCTGCCCTTGGGCTCCATCAATCAATTAAAAATTTCCAACAACCAGTAATCAATATTGACTGAATCAGTAACTTTTGCCAGGAATGTTTTGTCTCTCCTTGTCGGTGTGTAAGAGGTAACACCATGTCATGTGAGGTTTCCTATTACATGTACATTGATGTATTCCCTGGGCAATTGCCCTGCCTCACTGGCATTTATTGTAGCATTTATTGGTGATGTTATGTTCGCCATCCAGCAAAGTCTTGCCGGTCTACCTCCAGGCACCCTTCGCGTGACCTTTGTTTGCCCAATTACCCCGATAGTGCGTTCTATAAGCGCCATATGGGTGGGTTATGGTCATTGGAAGTTGCGAAAAAATTATCACATGGATTTTTTTCATTTTTCAGAGACAATACGTACCGTGCTCTACTATCATGTAAGCCTTTACCCTTAATTAGCTCAGTGCAAAAAAGTGTTAGAAAAAGATTTTTTCCTGTAAGAAAAGTAGATTTCAGAACAATCTATACCTAAGATTATTATACAATACAACAGACCAGGGGATGCTTGAAGTGTAAATTTGGTCTATGATTAAAACAAACTCCTGCTGCCCCCTCCTTGAGATATACTTACTACATGCGCAGGTGATGGACTGATAGGGGTGAATATTCTGTAGCAGTAAAGAAAAGGAATCTTACATGTTTAGATACATTGTGCATCCAGAGTGTACCTAAAAGTGGATGCGGCTCTTGTGGGTGCTTACAAATCTTAGATTGCTACTGGCTTGAGCATTGATTAGTTATGGTCCCACCCACATGATTGTTAAAACAAACAAACAAATCCTTATAGGGTTGGCCCACACTCCTAGAAAATCTTCATTAGTCACACCAGGGCTCCTACCAAATCTGGCACACATGTACATGCATGGTATGTGTGTGCCTGCTAAATACCTTCATGACAGGTGTCCTATCCCTGTGTAACACTAACTCTCATTGGAGCTTCTCCCAACAGAGGGAGTCAGGCTATCCTACCAAACCCAGCTGTGACACCTACTCAAGCAACCCCCAAGTTGTTACAGGTCATACAGAAAGAGAAGTGTTCTATAGCAGTTGACTCATGATTACTTATTTAGATAGACCTGCCTGCAACTTGATAGTCAATAGTACAAAATAGTTTGGATATAAAAACATACTGCCGAACAGTCATCATCAAACATGCAGATATCTCTGACTGGTTGTTTAGTACTGCTCAAATCAGTGTCCTCAAATCAGTTTTTCCAGTATTCCTCCACCAACAGAGGCCCTCTAACAAAAGGTTGCCCCTTAGAGGTTGACCCATGGGGGGAATTGGGGTCAGCTGAATGACCAAAGAAGGTTGGCCTGAGCCACCCATGAAAGAAATGCAAATTTCCTGAGAAGGCTAGCTCAAATTATTTTGTTCTACTTCTAGACTGAAGGAAAATAACCAAAAGACCTGAGAAAGTACTGTCATATCCTATTAAA